GTCCCAATAACTTGTTACCGGTTAGTTAAGTAAAAGTCAACAAAGCCATTTAGAAAACACTTGACCCTGTTCCTTCAAAAAAAAGATGACATCGTAATGTTGAACACTGGTTTGAAATCCTTCAAGAAAACATAGACGACGATGGAGTCTTCCATAGCGATTTGAAAAATCCTTCTGAAAAATCGACTGCGTAATCTAGACCTGGACTCGGGCCGGTTCGGGCCCGGTTCGGGCCTGGGCCCGGCCGGGCCTCGGGCCAGGAAATGGGAGGCCCGGGCCCGAACCGCCGGTGGCCGGTTCCGGTCCCGGTTCCGGGCCAAACCGGGCCAAACCGGGCCGGGCCGGGCCGAACCGGCCCACTTAATTTTTTTTTTTTTTTTTGTTCTCCTATTTGATCCCCTACCCCTCCCCCTCAACCCCAAACCACCCCAAACCACCTCAAATGGCCCAAAATACCTATTCCAACCCAAAACTTTAAAAAAATTTCAAAAAAAAAAAAAAATTAAAATCCGGCCCGGACCGGGCCCGAACCGGCCGGGCCGGTTCACCATTTGGAAGGCCCGGGCCCGGAACCGGGAACCACCGGGCCGGTTCGACCCGAACCGCCGGTGGACCGGGCCACCGGGCCGGGCCGGTTGCTACAGTGGCCGGGCCGGGCCGGTTCTGGGTCGGGCCGCCCGGCCCGAGTCCAGGCCTAGCGTAATCCAAGCAAAACCAGAAGACGGTGATGGAGGATGATGCTGGAGGACAACAGTGAGGTCGGGGGAGGAGGACGGTGGCTACATAACTGGTAATAACGATATTAGTTCTTCAATCCCTTTTGTATTTACTGGTATGATACTAGTTCTTCAATCCCTTATGATATATGAAATCCCTAGTCACTCATTACATAATTTCTTATTTGAAACACAATTTGAAAAAGAGTCTCAATGTTTTTGTGTGGATAACAAATACATGGTGTGGTAATGAAATGGACACTCTAGTCAATTGAAACACTACTTTTTTACCCCGCCTAGTATGTGTTTGATAAAGTGCCGAGAACATTTTTAATGGGAAATTTGTACAAAATCTGGAGTTATGAAGGCACATTTATTAAAATGCTTGACATAGTAATTAAGTCCTAACTATAGTTATTGTGTGCAAACTTTAAATCATTGTTTCTCTTTATTAGGTCACTAAGGGAGTAATGAATTGTGTATCATTGACATTCTGGCATGATGGCCTTTTCACAAAGGCAAATAATGAAATAGTTTATTTGGATGGGCATAGTAAGACCTATGATGTAGACCCGATGAACTTTGTTGGTTTTGGTTGGAGGAATTGGCAAAAAAAATGTGGCACTTACCATGAAATTGATGAGTTATTTTATCTGGTTCCAGGACTTACTTTGGCCAAGGGCTTAAGAAGAGTATATAATGGAACCTCAACCCAAGAGATCAAGGGGATCTACATCAACAGTTGCACCGGTAAACAATCATTCAATCACAGCAGAACTCAATCGATTGGGCAGAGGAGGCAGAGTTATTAGAGGAGGATGGGGATCCAGGGGAGGAAGAGGTTCAACAGGGAATAGGGCATCTCAAGGACAAGGAAGGGGCAGTAGGGGATACTAATTAGCAGAAATGCATAATGTATTGTTGATGTTAGCTATTAAACAGTTTTAGGGGTTTTTATTAAACTTTTGGTTTCTTGACCATATTGTTGATGTTATTTTGCCTTTTTGATGATTCTGTCATATTAAGGTCAAATGGATTCATGATTATTTTTTGTGATTATATCCAATGGATTCATGATTAGGTGATGTTGTTCATTTTAATCTGGTGTTTTATATGTGAGTATGTTTGTAGATTGATGTTTATATTTTCTCAGATTTTTGAGTGGAACGACTGTGTGTTGAATGGAATTAAGAGTTCCATTTCTTGTTTAGCTAGGTCACTGGTCATTGGGTCCCCTGATTCCCATTTGAGAATTTCGCTCGAGATCTTTTGGTATTATAGCCAGTTGCTCAAATTGGGTCCCTGGATATTATCTCAAATCGGGGGAATATTAGCTTTACCTAGGTGAATTGTTTCTTGGAAATCTGTGGCTTTTTGTGCACTTCAGTTCTCTTGGTAGTGTTATTTTTCAGCAGTGGACCTTGTTCAAGCCTCATGACTTCAATTTAACATCCATTTTTGTGCAAGACATACACTCACTTATATGTGATGCATTTTTCCTAGTAAATAGGGATACATTTTCAGCAGAGAACCTTGAGGCTCAACTTTATTTTGGTTTATTTGTTCTGTAATAGATCAGTAAAAATAGTTCTGTTGAGGCTCAAGTTGAGGCTCAAGTTGAAAAGAAGTTTAAAAGTTTATCAGTGTGCATTATCCTTCCTTAAAGTGGAGTGTAAAATTTGATTAAGTTCACATGTGAATTACACAAACTTGTATAGGTAAAAGGATATCAATTAAAAATCACATTCTGCACTTTTTAAAACAAATCACGTTCTGCACTTTTTTTTAAAAATCATGCTCTGCACTTTTTGAAAAATTCATGTTCTGCACTTTAAAAAAAACTGCACCTGTAATGCTACATTTCAAAACCTGCAGTTTTATGAACCTCTACATTTGCAAACACGCATTCCAAAAGCTGCACCTTTAAGCTAACTAAACTGTCAAACTAAAAAACTGCAATTTTAAACTAACTAAAGCACCATAATTCTGCACATGATAGCAGCCCACACCAATTTTAACTCCATTGTAGTCAAATACATATGATTCAATTCTAAACTCAACTCCAAATTACATCACACACCATTAAAAAGGAGCCATGAAACAACTAAAAAGGAGCCATGAAACAAGTCTACACTCAACTTCAACTTACGTAGTATTAAACTTCTTATTACAACCTACTTCAAACATAAAAATACAATGGCAAATAGGAGCCATGAAACAATTAGAGCCGTCGAGTACTTCTTCTCATTCTTTAAAGACTTCGAATTCGCAATGCTCATTTGCAAATTGTCAATCTTCATATGCTTGACTTGTTCTTCCAGTTTTTTTTAGCTGCAACTTTTTAATCTTTTCCTTCATTATCTTCATCTGCAATTGTACATCAGATGCATTACAATTCTTCTTAACCAGGTTGATGTCTTCACTTTCAGTTGATAAACCTGACTCACTTGCATTTTCCCACCTGAAAAAAATCACAATTTGCATCCTAACCAACAAAAAATAACTAATTCTGCATATCCTTAACAATCTATAAAAATTACAAACACAGTCAATCATAACCCTAACTTTTATATTAAAACTATATGTAGTAATTAGTAAAGTTACAGGCCGTAAAGAACATCCATAGAACTTCCTCACAACATTTGGCCCATTTTTCACTACACGAACAACTGAATTTATGTTATGGTGACATTGAACTCTTGATTTCGACCTACCAATGGATTTCGTCGAACAGGAACCACAGGTATGTGAATTTTTTTCTTCCGTTGACATGGTTCGACACAGAATGAATGGAAAGGAGAAAATACACATCAGACTGAATGGGAAGGGGAAAATTCGACGCAGACCGGGGGGAAAGCGAGGAAAGGAATAGTGGAAGATGAGAGAAGAACACTAAACTTGCGATGAAGAAAAGTTAAGGAAGAAGAGCTAACCTGGGAGTACCGGTTACTAACCTGGGACAATAGGTAAATAACGGGTTGGGACCAAAGAAAGCAGATGACATGAAAAGGTGGGATTTATTTCAGATTACTAATAAGTGGGACAATTTTGAGAAGAAGAGTAAAAGGTGGGATTATTAGAGTAAAATTTTCCTCTTATATATACATAAATACATATAAGAAAAGAAAAGAAAACTTATGTATATTATCAACATTGATTTCAATGTAAACAATTAAAAATTGATCCTATTTAATTTGCCCAATTACTTTTTGTAAATAGTGAATATGTTTTTTTAATATTAGGGTTATAAAAAATGATATAGTTTTTTTTATCATAAAAAATGATGTAGTTAAAAAATCATTTTTTGATCATTAGCAGGGTTTATTTCATGATGTAACTCGAGTACATTAAGATGTAATTCACGTATAAACAGATGTAACTCGCGCATAAGAAGATGTAACTTCATATACTATCAAATGTAATTCCAGAAATTGTCTATAAACACAACTCACACATGTTGAAATATAAATCACACAAATGTATAAAATATAAAACTATTTATTTTGAAGAAAAAAAATTAATTTTTTATTGTAAGTTAAGTTGAAGCAAATAAGAAAAGAAAGAGTGTATGAATAAGGACTAAGACAGAAAAAAAAAACATAATTAATTTCTTTTGAAAGTATGAAAATTTAATCTCCAAATTGTAATACATACATCATTGTTCCTAAATTAAAAAAAAATGTTTGGAAACATGATTGCTTTTGATAATAAAAAAATTAAAGTAAACATAGAATGAAAAAAACGATGGTGGAACGATGATTGGAGTGTGAGTGTAGATGAGAAAATAGAGAGCATGGAGACTTTTGATAAAGAAAATTAAAAGTAATCAAAGAGAAAGAAGTAAAAAACGAGGCAGAGGAAATATGAAAAAACGGCACTGTATTAATATCGGCATACCATGTATAAGGTATGTCGGTTGCACGGTATAATTTGCCGAATTTTGGGACGAGAGGGAAATGCAAAGTCCATGCAAATCTGCCCAATACATGAACAGCACAGCACTGTCCAAAACCGTGTCCCATATCATTCCTCAAACTGTCCGACAATCTTTGTCATGGAACTTGAATTTTCCCAGCTCCCGGTTTTCCCCAAAACCCGCTTCGTTTTTGGCTACCGATCTTCTCAAGTCTTACTTCGAGAAGGGTCTCATAAAAGAAGCATGTGCACTGTTCGATGAAATGCCACACAGAGATGTAGTCGCTTGGACGGCCATGATATCCGGGTATACTTCTTGCAACCTCTACCAACGCGCGTGGTCTGTTTTCTATGGGATGATGAGAGATGCCGGCGTCCAACCAAATGAGTTCACGTTTTCGAGCACATTGAAGGCTTGCAAAGGAATGAAGTCACCTTCTTGTGGCGCTTTAGTTCATGGGTTGGCACTCAAGCACGGCAATCATGGAAGCTTGTACGTTGCCAATGCACTCTTGGACATCTACTCTACGCTGTTTACAACCATGGATGAGGCATGTGAGCTGTTTAGTGAAATCAGTGAGAAAAATGACGTGACATGGACAACAATGATTGCCGGATACACTCACCGTGGCTATGGTTATTGTGGCCTTCAAACTTTTAAGCAAATGATATTGGTATGTTCTCCATTATTCACTGCATTGTTATTAGTATAATAGCAAATAAGAGTAAAACATGTGCACTTGTGCAAAAATGAGAGTATTCTTCACTTCTTGTATTGTGCTAAAAATTTGACTCGTTTAATCCTAAAAGAGAGTAAAAAGTAGATAAAGAAAGTATTTCGGTAGTAGCCAAGTAGATGAGTCATGAGTCATATTTTTTAAGGAAAAAATGGTAGTCCCGTTCAGTAGTGGATTCAGGAAGGGGCTGGAGGGACCTCCCCCCCCCATTTTTTTTCTAGTACAAATATACATAAATATAAAAACATATGCTCAAATATCAAGCTTTTGCCCCCTGCAGTATAATCCTTGTAAGCACGCCACTGGTCCCGTTTGAAGGAATATGGTATTCCATTTTTTTTCTATTATTTGCTCCATCTTTTTAACTTGGGGAGTTTTTCATATGAAACACATAAATATACCTCTCTTTTCGTCTTTCTTTCCTATTTTTTCTACATTTTCATTTTGTCTCCTACTATTTACTACCCTTACAATTTTCTCCTTTGAACCCATTAAAATCCTAGTGACTCAAATAATAAAAACCGGAGGAAGTACAATTTAGTCCCTTTTAAGGGTATTTCCTTGTTACTCCGTATTTTTTTATTGATTATTCATGCCTTAGGGTAAAAATATGTGCATGTGTGTGAACATCACATTCCTCATTTCCTAATTTCTCACCAAATTTTATATTCATGATTTTCTTACTTGTTTTTTAATGGACAGGAGGGGGTTATGCCAAATGCATTTACTTTTTCAATAGCTATAAGTGCCAGCACTTCAATCAGCCCATGCTCATGTGGAAAACATCTCCATGCCGCAGTAATCAAACATGGATTTGATTTTAACGTGCCAGTTATGAACTCCATTTTAGACATGTACTGCAGGGGAAACAACTTAAACGAAGCGAACCACTGTTTCCATTACATGCCTCAAAGAGATATAATCACCTGGAACACTCTGATAGCCGGGTATGAGAAATCCTATCCGAAGGAGTCCATCAAATTGTATTCTTGTTTGGAATCAGAAGCTCCAAGCCCCAATGCCTTCACATTTTCCAGCATTGTAGCTGCAGTTTCTAATTTGGCAGCACTTAGTTGCGGTGAACAAGTACATGGGAGGATAATACATAGAGGCCTTGTTTCGAATTTGGAACTGGATAATGCTTTGATAGACATGTATGCAAAATGTGGGAATGTTTTGAGTTCCCGAAGAATTTTTAATGAAATGCCAAGTAGAAATCTGGTTTCATGGACATCAATGATGATTGGCTATGGACGGAACGGATATGGAAAACAAGCCATTGAGTTGTTTGACAAAATGCTTAGTTCTAGTCTTACACCAGATAGGATTGCTTTCATGGCAGTTTTAAATGCATGCAGTCATGCCGGGTTTGTGGATGAAGGATTAGAGTATTTTAACTCAATGGTTGACGATTATAAAATTGTCCCTGATCAGGAAACCTATGGCTGTGTTGTAGACCTGCTAGGGCGTGCTGGAAGAGTTAAGGAAGCTTATGAGCTTATAGAAAAAATGCCATTTGCCGCGGACGAGTCAGTCTGGGGAGCATATCTTGGAGCATGTCTTGCTCATAAGCTTCCGGATTTGGGCACCTTGGCAGTAAAGAAAGTGCTTTGTTTGAATCCAAAAATTGCCGGGACTTATTTGATGCTCTCAAAGATTTATGCAGCCAATGGTAAGTGGAAAGATTATGTGAAGATGAGGAACATGATGAGAAACTTGTCAAACAAGAAAGAAGTGGGAAGGAGTTGGGTTGAGGTAAGGAGTGAAATATGTGATTTCGTTGCTGGAGGTAACTCAAGGTTCAGTTCACAAATATCGGGATAATTGAAATCGGTTTGCACAATATGGAGACTGGTAAGATCTCAGAGTTCTCATATTTCATTTTGTGAAGTCATCCCACACATGCAAAATATAATTATATAAGCTAAGGTCTTCCTTCAACAACACTACCTCAGTGCTACAAAGGCTCCCTCCCACCTACGGTGGGGTAAGAGGAGTCGTATGTACGCAACCTAACCTCTTTAATAAAGCACAAAGAGCGGATGACCCATGATCAAAATTGCCTCAAAAAATGCATGGAGAGAATATTGCTTCCATAGTAGTCGATGTCGCAAATGGCGATCGCCATTTCTCGCCATTGGCGATTCAGGGTGTCATCGCGACTATACATGGCTATTGCGCAGGGGATACACATAGCGTTGCCATAAGACCGCCATGGCGCCATCGTCACTACCTCACTTTATTGCAAATTGGGATGTTGTGGAAGAAAAATTGGGATGAAACAACTCACAACACTAGAGCATTGACATCAACACTACATCAGTTACGTGATGAAGATGAGATGAATACAATACAAGATCCTTCTGATATTGAAATGAATGAGGAAGAAGTTCCTTTCTTATCGGAGTCAGACGAGGAAGATGAGTGCGATGGCTAGATGTGAACAAAGAGGGGGATGACTATGAGTATTAGTCAACAGATCATAAAGATCAAACTCTAAATTCAGTTTTTTAAGACATGAACTAGTTATGGATATTAAGTTGGTTTATTTGGATCACTTTTGGTACCATTTTGGTTATTTAACAATTTAACTCTTTAATTGGTGGTTAAGTCATACACGTATATCGTCTATATGTTATGTTTAAACTTTTTTTATGTGTTTTACTAGTGCACCATGCTTGCGCCATCGCCGCGTGAAATTACCTCCGCACCATGCTGGTCGCTGTGCGCCATGACTAGTTGACTACTATAGTTGCTTCATAACAAAGAAACGCAAACAATTTAGTGAATCGTTTTGCTTTATTACATCATATTCTCAATCCAGAAACAGAGTCTTTGGCCCCATTAGAAATGGTGGAAATTAGTGAAGATCTTCCTTAAAAAAAGCTAAGATCTTAAACTAATACCGTTGTTAGTTGAACTTTTGATATGAAATCAAAGTTGCATCACAAGCTGATTGGCTCTCATAAGGTATCAGGGCCCATCACATTTAAACAAAAAAATTGGCCCGGCTAAGTCCCATAAATTGAATATGAGTTTGTAGATTGAACTATTCCAATTGGCCACCACCTAATTGGAATGTTGAGACATTCTATACCATCCAAATGTAAAGATACAAACACACCTTTGGAGCACTTCGCCTATTATGTTGAACGTCAAATTGTATTATATTTGCATTGCTATTTATGAAAGAGGTAATTCCCTAAATAGGAGTAAAAACGTTTTGAAATTCCAAAATAGGAGTATCATGTTTTTTATTTCTTGAATAGGAGTAATCTGCCAAGTTAGGAAAAAAATGCCATCTTTAAAGCCTTGTAAAACCAAACTTGGCAGAAATTTACTCCTATTCAGAGAATAAAAAACATGATACTCCTATTTTGGAATTTCAAAACATTTTTACTGCTATTTAAGGCAATTTCTGTTTATGAAATCACTGTTCCTGATTCGAATTGTTATCGACTTACTGTTACATTAAAAACTCTTTGATTGTTTTTTTTTTACTTTAGTTGATATGGTTCTTTAGTTGATACTAATAGTGTCATAACGATCGTACAATACTTTAGTTGATATGGTTCGTACAACGATCGTACAATACTAATATGATTTTTTTACTTTAATTGATACTAATAGTAATCTTCTTGCCATTTATTTTCTATACTATTTTTAAACAATTAGGTTGTATAGTTGATGTTTTATACAATTCATTCATTAAAAGAACGAAAGCGGAAAAAGGTTTAGAACAGAGAGTACATTACATACATATACTCCATACATATTTGTATAATGAATTTGAAATAAAGCACATAAATATACATATAATGTACATACACATTGTACATTATATTCCAATTTTACATTGTTTTTATTCATATTCCCATACATTTCTCTAATCAAGTTTAAACTGTAAATATGAAAATGAGTTCACAACTATTAACTACAGTAATTGAAAAGGAAACATTTAAAAAAAATGGATATACCTCCTATTCACCAAGCACTGTTTGATCAAGGAAAGTCATCTGGACATGGGCCAAATTTCAGTTCAAAAGAAGATTGGAACTCCGGGTTTAACCAAAAATCACATTGACATTCTGTAATCAGAACCAGCACCTGTACCCCGCTAATTCCTAGTCAGATTACAGTTTCTACTAAACAGGCATGAACAAGTTGGTCCATTTGCCAGTTTTTTAAAACTTCAAAAAGGGAGCACAGAAAGGAAGTGTAGGTTCCTACTGGACCAGAAGCTTACTGCCTTTAACCTGTTTAACTTAAGAATTTCATTATTAACTGGGAGCAGAACTGACCTAAGAATTTCATTATTAACTGGGAGCAGAACTGACCTGCCTAAAATCAGAATCAGTCACTTGTATGGGGTTGATGAAATTTGTAAAGTATGAATTGATTAAGCCTCCTAAATGGTACAAACAATTAGCCCCTGGGCTCTGCCCATAGGCCCCATATAATGATGCTTCGCCACAATGACAGGGTGTGTTACATGCGGGTTGCAGCCGACTCCTTGAAATAAAGCAACAACTTCAACTAGAAGTCCAGAACATCAGGCATTAGCATTCGTTCAAAGGAGATCGATTTTTTTTCCGTTTACGCTTGTAAACACATTAACATGTATACGTATATATGTTAATAACAGGAAACACATTACAGTATAACGATTTGACACTATCAAATCCTAGAAATCATCCATTGGTTCTCGAGTTACAAGTTATAAAGACAAATCGAAAGGATGACATTCTCCCAGAGAATTAAAAAAAAAAAGTAAGAGCCTATATGCCATATTATAAAAAAAACAAAGAAAATAGGCAAGCAATTTCTCCTACCCAAATTTAAAACCGCCTGCAGGAACATTAGGTTGGTTGTTCCCAAAGCTAAAGCCATGCTGCTGATTTGCATCACCACCATCAGGAAGGTTATGCTGTTGTTCATCACCATCTTCCTCAGCCCAGTATTTCTCTAAAATTTTCACAGCCTTTTCATATATCTCATTGTTGTCATGAGTTTGGAGATTCTCAATTTTGTCTAGTCCTTCACATTCGTCAACCATCTGTGCATATAAATTGACGCCACCGTTCAATCCCATTTCTTTGTCCGCCTCGCCTACCTTCAAAATGTTCTCCAGCCCTTCAAGGCACACAGTAACAATTCTTGGATCTGGACATAACAAGAGATCACAGAGCGGCTTAATGCAGCCGTTACTTGCCAGGAACCTGTATGAAAAGTACAAGTTCCAGAATCATATGCTTGCCAGCTCATAAAAATTAACCATTTTTATGCAAACCCACACATAAAAAAACAATGCACGAACTTAGGTGTAATAGAATACTGCAAATATTAAGAAGTGCATGAGGAGAAACCGAGAAAAGCCATTGCAATTAGAACACATTTAAGTGAAAGAACTGTGGAAACTGGACAGCTTCACAAGGGAGTGAGATGGGACTGGTGTACTGGATTAAGATTAATGTATAAGGATGCCATATGAACCTAACAAATACTAGTTCGCACAAAGATGGTCTGAATGGACATGGTAGAGTCCAGACTCAAGAGCAAGATGTGAACTTTAACTACAAGCAGTCAAGCAGTGATACCTAATTTGATCATGAGAGCCTCCAGAGGTGGCATTAGAGATAGCCCATGCAGCCTCTTTCTTGATGTCAAATTCTGCATTTTGTAGGAGGTGTACCAAAGGAACAATGATAGATGCCTCAATAACTGCCTGTTAAAAGATCAGCACCACAAAATAAACCTATGATGAAATTGCCAAAAAGTCTTATAAGGGAAAAACAGCAAATATTTGAAGCAGATAAACTGTTATTCAAAGTGTAATGTCATTAAATTGGTTTCAAGTATTCCATAGTCCTTATACTAACTGATATCATGATTCATTTGTCCGTTTGCCATTATATTGGTCAGTAAAATTTTATAACACCACAGTAAATTTTATGACACTAATCCCAATGCTTGGGTGATGATGATATGTTTAAAAGGTGACAATTAAAGACAAACTCAACATCTATAGCTGAAAGTTTATGTCTGCTCGTGTATCACAGACGTGGTTGGGTACTTGGATACTTGGGTACATGATCTATATACTATTTTGATTTTCCGTCTCGATATAAAGTTCGTATTTGGGTTTGACACACTTATTAAGAAAGTTAAATTGTGTGGTTGAGATTTCTTTGAAAAGGAAAGGAAAATCACAGCCACACAATTTAATTATTCCTTAAAAGGAAAGGTGAATTTTTATTGTGAGATTGCTAAGAAAGATAGGAAAGAGAAAAAAGTAAAGTTTATATTGAAACATTAGAAGTACGGACTATAGATTAATCATATTGAAGAGTTAAGATTGAGTGTCTAGATAATGGGTAACAGCTGGACTGCAGGAGCCAAAACCCCTCAACCCTGCCCCATCGCCTCCAAATCCTGCCCCATCGCCTCCAAATCCTGCCCCATCGCCTCCAAATCCTGTAGCAGGCTCCTCTCAGCTGGTGTCGTTAGACATGACCTTGGACCTTCCTGAACCCTCAATCCACTATTCTTCGAGAACTGAGCAGATGGGATACATATTTTTGTGTTTCAAGTATAGTTTTGTTTCACTTCAGATTTCAAAACCCAAAAAGGATCCTAAATACTACCTCCATTCCTAATTAAACCTCTTGACTCGGCACAGTTTTTAAGAAAGTGAAAACTGTGTGGTTGAAACTTGAAATGTGTTTAGAGGAGAGAGAAACAATATCAAATACAAATGCTTTGTAAAAATGAAAAAGCAAATCATTTTGGGATGGATGGAAAAAGAATGGAGGTAAAAGGCTTAAGAGGGAGTATAAGGTATTGTGATTCCCACTTCAATTTCTCACACATCACTCCTGCAATCTTCTCTCTCTTTCTTTTTCTTCATCATCAGTTGAAAGTGAGTACAAACAAGGGACCATTTTCTCAGAAGAATCTTTCTCCTATATAACCCCAGGCCCAGGCCCCAGCAACCAATTATTTGAAGTAACCTTTAAGGAGCCTTCTTCTCCAAGCTCCCATCTCTTTAAGTACTATGGTTTTAAAGGAGATGGTAAACACAGATTTCTTCATCTCTCTAGGTCGCAGCTCTCAGATTTATGCAACGCCTAATGGAGCAGATCTGTAGTAGAAGCCACAAGCTCTCAGATTCATCTCTCCAATCTTCTTACCTCTTTCTCTATTCTTTTTTGGGCTTTTGGCAAAAGCCTAATGGAGCAGATCTGTAGTAGAAGCCACCCGCTCAAACATCTCCTCACCGAATGTCCGAATCGTCCAATTGCCAACTTCTTGAAGCACTAGGGCATTGATCCAAGCAACCATTCGCCATTGGCAAGCTGGGGAAAGCAACTGTGTAGTTCTTGACTTCTTTGATCTTTCCTTTCGTGCTATTTGTTTGTAGTATTATAGAAAATTAAATTCATTTGATTACAACTAAGTGTTTCCATTTTTAGGAGATCTGAAGCATCTATTAGATTATTACTTTTGTGAGTTCTGTCTGCTGTTGTGTCTCCATGATAGCATTT